ATGAACTTGCTGGGACAGGTGGAGGGGGGCGGGGGGGGCATGACAGAGAGGCAATACTCTTCCCTCCCCTCATCTGTGGGTCTTTGGTGACTGCCCAGTGGACCCGTGGCCAGATTAGTTCACAACACTGCTGTAGTATCCAGGCCTGTGCTGTTGAACTGCAGGCTCTTTCCCGCTTCTCCTCCCTTGTGTGTCCTTTAGGTCACATAGTCCAGCTGCGTCTCAGTCCTGGGCCTGAGGGTCTGCACCCAGGATGACCTAAAGGCCCAGGGAGCATGTATCCTTGGCTGTGTCCAGGAGTCCTATGAGTGCCCAGAGCTCTGTATGCATAGCTCTCACTCGCAGTGTAGCCTGCCTGGCTTGTGAGGACAGTCCAGGCCTGTTACAGTTCTTGATGGGCCTTAGCCTGGCTACTGTGACTTCCCCACTTAACTGCCTCTGAGGACAGAGAGATTCCTGCTAATCTCTGGGAAAGTTACTGAATTGGATTAGGCTTCTGTTAATGTTGTATGCTTTGGTTATAAAGGGACAAACCGTTAAGGTACTGTCTGAACCCCAGGGCTTGGTCCAACCTTTGGTGCCTCTTATGAGGTGGAGTGTTTATGAAATGTGTAAGGCATACTTGGCTTACTGCTCAGCCATCGAGCGTTCAAGAAAACAGCAGTTTTCCATAAATAAATGGTGCACCTCGACTCACAGTCCAGCTGGAGGACTTGTCTCACTGGTCACATATGTACTGTGTACTATAGATTAGTCATTCTCCAAATGTTCCACTGGTACTGGGTGTGGGATAATTTCTCACACTGGTCACAGGTGTCGCTCCTTTTATTGAGCTTCACTTGATTACTCTCCAGAGATACAGCGTTTTCTACAGTTTGAAAGTTTGTGACAACCCTGAACCAGCCAGTCAGTGCCAGTTTTCCAACAGCACTTGCTCACTTTGTGTCTGTGTCACATATTGGTAATTCTCGCAACATTTCAAACTTTTCCATTATTATCATATTTGTTATGGTGATATGTGATCAGTGATTATAACTTCCTGAAAGCTCCGATGATAGGTCTTTTTTTTTTTTTAAGTAAGCTCTACGCACCCAATATAGGGCTTGAACTCATGCCCTACCTACTGAGCCAGCTAAGCTCTCTGATGGTTAGCATTTTTTAGCAATAAAGTATTTTTTATTTAAGGCATGGACATTGTTTTTTTTGGACATAATGCTACTGCACATGTAATAGACTACATTAGAGTGTAAATATAACTTTTATATGTACTGGGAAACCAAGAAGTTTATTTGACTCTCTTGTGACATTCACTCTGTTGGCAGTGGTCTGAAAGGGAACCTACAGTATCTCCAAGGTAGGCCTGCCCCCTGCCTATGCATCTCATGCTCTCCAGAGACCTGTACATGCAAGAAGCCTGCCTCCTCCCAGTTGTCGATGGTGATTCCTCGGCTGGGAGTTGGAGCACGGTGTGTCTGCCAGAAGAGAGGCTTGTGCAGCACTGTGGGGGCTGCCCGGGTGCCTGTTGCCCTCTCTGCCTCTGCACTTGTCATGTCTGGGGAGCAGGATATTCTCTCTAGATCTTTGACTTTATGTGATTAGTGCATCTCCAGACGAGCTTCTCCTTCAGCTTTCCTCTTGAGGTGGCTCAGCTGTCACCCAGTGCACACTGCTGCTTACTGTGGCCACCTACCCTTCCTGTTCGTGAACTCTGGTTTCTTCATACTTCCCTGTTGTCTCCTGATCCTGTGTAAACGGAGAGGAAATGTTTGTCTATCCTTTATGAACAAACAAACAATACAAAAAATAGAGCTCTGCGTGATCATGCTCCCTTAGTCATTCACATTTATAGAATGAAATGTAATCAGTAGGCTTTTATTGTATCAATACACTTATCACCTATGTATGACAAAAATCGTCATAGACTCAAGGATTTTTCCGTTTTGGTTGGTGCTTTTTTTTTTTTTTTTTAAGGTTTTCTTTATTTGACACAGAGAGAGAGAGAGAGAGAACTAGCATAAGCAGGGTGAGGGGCAGAGGCAGAGGGAGAAGCAGGCTCCCCACTGAACAGGGAGCCGGATGTGGTGCTTGATCCCAGGACCCCAGGATCATGACCTAAGCTGAAGGCAGAGGCATCATCGTCTGAGCCACCCAGGCATCCCCATTTTGGCTTATTCTGATGAGCTGTACTTACTGATCTCTTTTTAGGGTTTACAGAGTCACAGCTTGGCTAGTGAGTGACAGTCCCTCCAGCCCAGTTTCCCTACCCTTTCCTCCTACCACAGACACTTGTGAAGGCCTCCTCCTTTTCAGACATAGCAAAGGATACAAATACCATATTCCCATTTTTCTGTTCTAAGACATGGAGTTGACTGCTGTCCTGAGTTGTTTCTGGTTTTTTTTTTTTTTTCCCCTGAGTTCTTTTACTGGGGAATACTATTAGAAACAATCTGGATGCTCCGGGTTCATTTTGTGGTGTTCTCCAACAATCTGGTGGTGGGTAGGCTCATGATGTCACTGCTAGAGCACTGCAGAGTCAGAGCTGGGAAGGGCAATTTTCTTTGTGGTTGTGGGTGAACTTGTATGTATTTCTGATTTAATTTTGAGACTAGTATTTTTTTAAATATTTTTATTTAAAAAAATAAAAAAAATAAAATATTTTTATTTTTTATTTATTTGGGAGAGAACATGTACACAAGCAGGGGGAGCAAGAGAGGGAGAAGCAGGCTCCCTGCTGAGCAGGGAGCCTGATGTGGGGCTCCATCGCAGGACCCTGGGATCATGACCTGAGCCGAAGGCAAGATGACCAACTGACTGACCAACCCAAGCTCCCTGTCTATTCCTCTCTTAATACCCACCTAAAGTTTTATTATTTCTTCTCCTGTCTCTGTAGTATTTCTTTGTGTCTCATTGGCAACTGTCCTGTCATTGCTTTCTTCACAGATTACCAAATTGCTTTCCAGAAGACAAGATAACAGCACCATGGGTGTATTGGTGCCAGCTGCTGTTAGAGGAGTACCTTGTTTTATCCTAGCCTTGCCAGCATTTGCTGTTCCTGTGTGTTGTGAACATATTTAATTGCCATTTCTGTCTATCCATCCTCCAACCTTTCCCCTGATTACAAACATTCAGGGCTGTCTCTGGTCAGTTTAACGTGGCTTTGGATACCTTGCATGTTTTCATCTTTTGGTTCCTTGAGTTTTTTTGGTGCCTGTCCATTTCTTCACTTAAAGTCTTGATGTCTTATAAATTTGAATGAGTTCTTGTTTATAAATCAGTGCAGTTATATGTGATATAAGTATTTGTAGCAGCTTATTGAGATATAATTTGTATACTGTACAATTCATCTATTTAAACAATTCAGTGGGTTTTAGTGTATTCACAAGGTTATATAGCCATCATCATGATCTAGTTCTAGAGTTTTTTTGTCACCCTAGAAAGAAACCCCATACCCATTAGCAGACCAACCCCCTTCTCCAGCTCAGCCCCTAATGATCATTCACCTGCTTTCTGTCTCTGGATCCACCTCTTCTGGATATTTCGTGGAGATGGAATCCCACAGTATGTGGCCTTTTGTGTTTGGCCGGTTTTTTGTTTGTTTTGTTTTGTTTTTAAGATTTTATTCGTTCGTAAGAGACACAGAAAGAGAGAGGCAGAGACACAGGTAGAGAGAGAAGCAGGCTCCATGCAGGGAGCCTAATGTGGGACTTGATCCCGAGACTCCAGGATCACGCCCCAGGCTGAAGGCAGACACTCAACTGCTGAGCCACCCAGGCGTCCCTATGTCTGGCCCTTTTCATTGAGCATAATAATGTTTGCCATGTTCATTTAATTTGTAGCATGTATCAGTACTTCCTTTTTATGGCTTTTTATTTTACTTTATTAAAAAATAAAATTTGTTAAATGTTTCATTTGTTTAAATAATTTAAAAACCTAACACTACCTGGTTTGGAGATAACTTTGATGAAATTGAGCTTCTGGGTTCTTGATCAGGTAGTTTCCCGATTGGTAACCAGTGATGCCACTGCTATCTTTTTTGAGAAACTTATTTATTTTTATCAACTGTAATTTTTTTTTTTTTATGTAGGCTTCCCACCCAGTGTGGAGGCCATTGTAGGACTTGAACTCAAGACCCTGAGATTAGAATCTGAGCTGAGCTCAAGAATTAGATGCTCAATTGACTGAGCCACCCAGGCGCCCCTCAGCTATAACTTTTATGTGTAGTTGACAGTTCTTGGACTCTTCTTTCCATGAAGTTCTACTTCCATGTTCTATTACTTCTAGTTTAAAATTCTGTTTAGTTTGGGATATAGTCTTTTTTTTTTAAGATTTTATTTATTTATTCATAGAGACACAGCTAGAGAGAGAGAGGCAGAGACACAGGCAGAGGGAGAAGCAGGCACCATGCAGGGAGCCCGATGTGGGACTCGATCCCGGGTCTCCGGGATCACACCCCAGGCTGCAGGCGACGCTAAACCGCTGCGCCACCGGGGCTGCCCTAGTTTGGGATATAGTCTTAAACCAATCTGTCTGTTCAAGCCCTAATTGAGTACCTTCTGTGTGTCCAGTCTTGTATGAGGTATAAATGGGTGAGTAGACAAGAAGTTTGGGATGAGGACACCATGGTCAAAGAGTTTGGACTGGCTTCCTTCGTGGGTTGGGGTTGACTGCATATAGCATTGAGGTTGGGCAGTGATGGGAAGGCCAACTGGCCATGGTTGGGGGGTAATTGGAGATTCACTCAGTGCTGAGGGAGGAGGGGGAGGCAGATAGGTGATGGACAAAGAGGGTGCTGGGCAGCAGGATCGGGGGTAAGGGTTGGGATTTGAGCAGGGAAGGGACTTGGGAGAGGAGAGCAGTGGCCTGAATCCTGTGGCAGAATGTCAGATGGCCTGCCCAATACTTGGTAGCATTCGTGTTATAACAATGTTAACACTTTAGTTCAGACATGTAGGAAAAGTTGAGCTGCTTTGAGTCTTACCTCTTTTTCCTTTGTCCTCCAGTATGACACCGTTCCTATCCAGTCCAGTGTGGTGTTATGTTCTTGCCCGTCCCCATCAATGGTGAGGACCCAGACTGAGTCTGGCACGGCCCCTGGCATTCCCAGTGGTGGTAGCAGACAGGGCCCCACCATGGACAGCACCGCGGCTGAGTCCCGACCGAGCACCAACTCGCTGCAACACACCACACAGCCGCCACCACAGCCTCGGAAGAAACGGCCTGAAGACTTCAAATTTGGGAAAATTCTTGGTGAAGGCTCTTTTTCCACAGTGAGTATATACAACTGCTGTTTCTTGAATGAATGTGTTTCTTTGGGAAGGCTGACTTTCCTCAGGACTTGGAGCTAGGGGACCCAGTTACCTGGGCTATATTCTTCCCCAGGGGGTGGGGGTCTCAGACCCCTCAGGAGTTCTACTCCGGTTGCAGAGGGTCATTTTGGTGCCAGCTACTACCAAGTAGATCACATGGTTAAAATATTTAAGCCTTGGTTTTATAGATGAAAGCTTTAAAAGGCATCTTGATTGTTTTGTGGTTTGGTTTGTTTTTTTAAAAGATTTTATTTATTTATTCATGAGAGACTCACAGGGAGAGGGAAAAGCAGGCTCCCTGTGGGAAGCCTGACGCGGGACTCGATCCTAGGACTCTGAGATCATGACCTGAGTCAAAGGCAGATGCTCAGCCACTGACCACCCACCCAGGTGCCCCTGGTTTGGTTTGTAATGCAGTTAGTTTTTATTCTAACCAGTCATCAACAGATTCCATCCTGTGTCCTTATGTCCCATTAGCAAGGTCTTCAGAAGCTTTTCTGCCCCTTCATTTGAGAGTGTCAGTATCAGTGTCTCTTCAGAGCTTTTGGGAATCATTTAATGACCTTTACTATTTCTCTATCTCTCTTTTTTTTTTTTTTTTTTTTGTGGTATTTCTCTCTTATTTAAAATGATATATAGGGGCGCCTGGGTGGCCCAGTGGTTGAGCATCTGCCTTTGGCTCAGGTCATGATCCCAGGGTCCTGGGATTGAGTCCCACATCAGGCTCCCCATAGGGGCTAGCCCTGCTAGCCTCTGGGTTCTCGTAGCCTTGGCTTCAGTCTTCATCAGCACATCACATGCAAGGCGCCTCTGTTTGTTACCTGAGTGAATTGTGCCTGTCTTGTGGCATTTTTCCTTTTTAAGCGAAGAAATGAAGGTTAGTGCAGCCCATTTGCTGAGGTTTGAGCCCCATGAAGCACTGATGGGACTGGGGGCTTGTGCAGATTGTGAGGAGGCCCGTGCAATGGTCAGGGCCTTTTTGTTCACCCTCCAGAAAGAAACCTTATGTGAAGTGTGTTTCCCCTGCTTCCTTTCACAAATTCATGAAATGTTGCAAACTATACAGAAGAACATGCAGTTTTACAGCTTGCCATGTTCCCGACTTGGTTTTCATCAGTGTTAGCCTTTTGCTCCCCTTACATTTTTTTTTTAAGATTTTATTTATTTATTCATGAGAGACACACAGAGAGGCAGAGACACAGGCAGAGGGAGAAGCAGGCTCCATGCAGGGAGCCCGACATGGGACTTGATCCCAGGTCTCCAGGATCAGGCCCCGGGCTAAAGGCGGTGCCAAACCGCTGAGCCACCAGGACAGCCCTCCCCTTACATTTTTAATTTAGATTTTTTTTTTTAAGATTTTATTTATTTATTCATGAGAGACACACAGAGAGAGAGACAGAGAGAGAAGTAGGCTCCATGCAGGGAGCCCGATGCGGGACTCGATCCCAGGTCTCCAGGATCATGCCCTGGGCCAAAGGCAGGCGCTCAGCCACTGAGCCACCCAGGCGTCCCTTAATTTAGATTTTTTATTGGCAGTTTGTTTAAATTATGAAAGAATCGTGCCCTCAAGATAAAACTTTTCGGCTATGAGCATGGTCCCCAATACTTCTGGTATTCACAGATCCTCTCAGAAAGAAGCAGCACTTTTGAAAAGAACCTTGGGTGTTCTGCATGATTACTTAAAATAGTCCAGTAAAAGAAGCAGTGTTCCCTCTTCTCAGTTGTGCTTCATGGACATTTATCTCAACCGGTAAATGATCACTTATATGTGAAACTGCCCCTTGTCCATGGGTCTGCACAGCAGGTGAAAGTAGGCACCATCCATTCTGGGTGATGCACTCCTGGTGTTGAAAAGCTCCAGTTCTAGTTCTTGTCATCCCTGGTCCTTTTGAACTGAGGGAGGTGCTGGGGAAAAGCACCAGGAGCTGGAGGCTTCTTCCTGGCACTGTTCAGAATCCTGCAGCCCTGGGTCTCAAATTATATGTGCTACCCTTAGGTCTTATAACTCCTGAAATAGAGACCACTTAAAATTAGATTTCCGGGGCGGGGGGGGGGGGGGTGGAGGACCAGCGGCAGTTTCCAGGTTGGGCAGGATCTGGGCAGGATCTGTGCTTGACCGAGCCTGGCCCTGGAGAGTGGGAAGGCTCAGCCTTCTGCTGCCTGGCCCTCTGGGGGTGATCTTGACATCCACATTAGCCCTGCTGTTGGCTCTGGTGTTGTGGAGGGATGTGTCATGTCTTCTCTGGAAGAGGGATACTTCTGCCCTTTGCCCATAAGGAAACCCGCATGTGAAATGTTGAATTCACACAACAGAAAGATTCTTAAGTGCCTCCTTCAGAAATGATCCCATTAATTATTAGTACTCTCTAATAGTTTTTTCTTCCTCTTTCCTACTAAGTAGCTAGTACGTGCTCCCCTGAAGAAATTTAATATTTCATAAACACAACCTAAGGAGGGAGTATCTTTCCCCAGCCCCTGCCTATCACCTCCTGGTGCTTGAGAACAGCCTGCATAGGTATATTCCTCTAGAAAGATCTCTGAGATCTTTCCACTTGAGCACATATAATCCAACTCCATTCTTCTTAATAACTGCAAGGTATTTCACACAGTGCTTTCCCAGGATCACTGCTGGGGAATTCTGTAGTGGGATGAATCTGGCCTGTGGCTCCCAAAGGTCTTCCCAGAAGGCCCAGGGATCCCTCAGGATTTGGACAGGTTTCCATCTGCACTATGGTCCTTGGGCCATGCCTTTGTGCAGGTATCTAGGAGGGCCATTCTCTGCCTCAACTGTGTGGTGGGTGGAGGCCACCCCGCTTCCCAGACAGCTGGCCTCATCAGGCATGTAGAAGTTGGTGCTCAGTTGTGGCCAGGAGCTGCTCGTGTAGAAATATCTTTCCCATGTTGTGCTACTATGCCCTGTTGGCTCTCTGTCCCCAGAATGGAATTTGAGGACCATCCTTAGCTCTGCTACTGAGAAGGCCCTGTCAGAAGTGGGACTGCACCCTGAGTGGGAGGTGAGGCTTGCAGGAGGCACTCCCAGTGTGCCCTGTTTAGCTTCAGTTCCTGTGCTCTCGCTGGCAGGGAGAGTGTTTACTGTACCTAAGCACAGTGTCAGCTGAAAGGTATGGTCACAATTATTTGAAAAAACCCAAATTCGGGGCGGGCTTTTACAATGAACATATTCTTAAGAGTTATTTTTTAAAGGAATTCCCAGGACTCATTTGAGGTATTGTTTGCTGTTTCTTTCTACTATCTGTGAGGGTTACGTTAGTCTAAAATGTTCCTGAATGTGTACTTCACTGCACCAGGGGAACTTAGCAGCTGATCAAGAACCTTCTGAAGGCAGTTGATTGATCTCTGCGTTTGCTGTCTATTAGAACACATTAACTTAGTCATTGACATTCTGTCAAATTGTTAGCACAGGACAAATATATTTTAATGTAATTTCAGATACTTAAATGTAACTTTATGGTGGGGGCAGGTTAGCCTGTATGGTTGGCTGCAAGGTGACTTGTGAGAGTTGATACGCAGGTTACACTGAGTATTTCTTTCTCTTCTCTTTTTCCCTTTTCTTCCTAAACCAGGTTGTTCTAGCCCGAGAACTGGCAACCTCAAGGGAATATGCTAGTAAGTACTAAGTCTAGGGGGCTGTGTATCTGGGACGCAGGGGGTGGGATGCTGTTGGTCTTAGAGACCACAAAGCCGGTGGGTATGTTTTGTGAAAAACTTTAATTTGTACCAGTTACCTTTGAGTTTTGTTTTTAGTTTTGTTTTTGTTTTACCATTATCAATTGAAGTAACTTGCTTCTCTCTTACTTTAAGTTAAAATTCTAGAGAAACGTCACATTATCAAAGAGAACAAGGTCCCGTATGTAACCAGAGAGAGAGACGTGATGTCACGCCTGGATCACCCGTTCTTTGTTAAACTTTACTTCACATTTCAGGATGATGAAAAGCTGTGTATCCTTTGAACAGTCAGAGCCTTCTGAAATCACACCACTGACCCTGTACTGTTTTGGAATCATGACCCTCTTGTGTATTTTCACAAGTCCTTTCCCTGGAAAGGACAAGGTCGACATATTCTAAATACAAATGAATTCACATCATTTTGCTTTGGGATTGCTAACATTGACTAAAGTAGGACATTACTTTGAGGGAAATCATCATAAACCTTTTTGAGGTTTTTTGTTTTATAAGCGTTGTATATAAAGGATTGTTATTGTTTTAACCCCGTGGTAGGTAGACATTTATTCAGAGGCATTCGCTTATTCTTCTAACTGGTGTCCTTGGAATATCCATCAGATGTCAAGTCCTCTGCTCAAAGCAGGGAAGTGAGGGAGGAAGGATTTTTGGGGGTTTGGTTGGAAGGGACATCTTCACTAGGCTTAGCCCCCAGGTGAGAAGTCCAGGCAGCCGCCCACAGGAGCCCAAACTCTTTCTTCTAGTACCAAGAACATTGTCCTCCCCAGGCCCTCCAGCCCCCCCCCCCACCTTCCCCTAGCCCTGCCCCCCTCTGCTCTCTGTCAGTGGAGAGCTCTGATCACCCAGTGCTTCCAGCTCTCCAGCAGTGCTGTCACACCCCACTGATTGCTTCCTCTGAGGGCCTCTCTGGCTCCCTGATTTCTCCTCTAATCCCTAGAGCGATGTTTTTTTCCCCCCCTCTTTTACCTTTGCTTAGGGAGTAGAGGAGACAAAGCACCAAGGCACTATGGCCACATTGTGTTGTCCCAAGACCTGCCCATGTGGCCTGGCTGGCCAATTTCTCCTCACCCCACAGCCCTTTCCTGCAGTTTTTCCCAGCCCTTAGGTGCCCCAATGACTCTGTCCTCAGTCCCAGTGGATGCTCTTTTGGTTTCTGTTCCACCAAAAGAGGTCAGAGGTTAGCTGTCAAATGGAGTTGCCTTGGGGCTTGTTCAGGCTTCAATCTCAGTCTTTGCATTATTTTCTCCTGCCCTCAGGTGTCCTCAGTGTCTCCCTCACCCCCTCATTAAAGCTGGTCCCCGTAAGGGCTTGGCTCCCCCCCAAAGACTTTCCACGTGCCTCTTTCTACACAGAGTCTTCTGGTTTAGAACTTTGCTCCATCCCGCTCCCCCTTCAACATCATTTTCTGACTCCTTCAACTGTCAGCTGAATTTGTTTTTTTTGCTTATTGAGAAGTTTTTGTTGAGTGCCAGGTGATGGGAATATGCTGGTGAAAAGGTGGAGAAGGCTCGGCCCTTGTGGAGTCTACATTCCCTGGAGGAGTTAGACATACCCAGACCATCAGTGCCCATGTAGTAGACTTGAGGGAGCAAGGGCAGTGAGGGGGCAGGTAAGAGGGTGAAGGAAAGTGTTGCTCCTGTAGCTTGGTGGTCTGTGGGGGACGTAGACTCTGGCCAGAGACCTGGGTAGAGCTTGGAGTGCTTCCTATGCTGGTGGGGCGAAAAGGCTGGGCAGGGGCCAGCTTCTCCTCCCCTGGAGGCCTGGTGAGAATTACAGATTTTCTTCCAAGTGTGCAGGGAGTCCCGAGGGGCTAGAAAGAAGCAGCATTTGCTGTGACTGTGGCAGGTGCCAAAGGCTCCTGTAGGTGAGCCAGGCAATGGGGCTCCTGGGTGTGGGCCCTCGGAGTCGGGGAGGGGCAAGGGGTGCTGTAATTGAGGCAGGAGAGACCAGGCTTGGAGGTATGTGTGGCGTTGGCATTTGATATACCTGTTGGTACTGGCTGCTGCTGAGTAGGTGCTGGTGAAGCTTGTTGAGGAGTCAGGGCAGCATGCAAACTCAGGGCTGGGGGGCATCCGTGGGCTGGCTGGCCACTGGAGGACACTTCTGAGGGAAGAGTTCTGAGACCTGAGCCCAACTCACCCCCACACAGATTGGCATGCAGGAGGCGGGGTGTTGCCAGTGAGTGGAGAGGGCAGACCCCAGGGGGCCACAGGGCCAGTTGGTTTCCAGTAGGGGGGTTGCTGGGCAGCGAGGTCATGCTGCTGCGTGGTCAAGTACCTGGGGCCTGTGTCTGCCCTCTGGAATGGCCCAGGTGCAAGTTGTTCTGGGTGTGGGGAGGGGCTTTCAAGAGAGTTGAGGAGGTCCAGGTAGCACACACAGTGAGTTTTGCCTAATGGTTCCACCTTTAAGGGGAGCAGTGAAGTGGTCTAGTAGCCACAGGCATATGGGGCAGAATGGGGTCTCCTTGTTGGTTTGTTTAGGGATTATAGAATGTTTGCCTCTGCCTGGTTCCAGCAATCCTGTCCCCACTAAGCTGCTGTCACTGCTTTCACGGCAGCCCTCAGTGGCCCCATGAGGACATTGAAGGGTCCTCTTCATGGCTGCTCATCATTGTGTGTCCCCTCTTACAGGTTGGGGACAGGAGTAGTACTCTAAGCCTTAGGAGGCTGGGCTCCACTTTTGTCCTTCCTTGGCTTCATGACCTTGAGTCAGTTGCTTAACCTCTCTGGGCCAGGTTCCTTTGTCAAGTACAGGCATTGAGCTTACCAGGCTCTATTAAAGACCTAATCTTTGCTCATCCTTCCAGGAATTCACCCACTTCATTGGAGAAAATAGCCCCCCTCCTCCCTGCCCTGGGCCATTGGCTGTGCCGAAGGAGGGAGAAATGTTCTAGGATGTGAAATGAAATGGACTGAGGAGGTCTGAGAGTGTACTTCTGGGGATGAAGAAGGTGTGTGATTGGAGGCAAGATGGGCTTGGAGCCAGGATCCTCAACATTTGTCATGTTCAAAACCTTTTGGTCCCCTTAGGTTCACAACTGAGCAGAGAACTAGAAGTAGAAGTCTCTTTGACACAGGAAATAGGAACTCGGAGTGGTCAAATGAGGGGCAAATCCCTCGAAGCTCAAAAAAGCCCTGTGCCTGTGGACAAGGTTGAGCCTGTCACATAGACTGCAGGCTTCTGGGCACTCCTCAGTGAGGTTCCCTGCTAGTCCAGGTGGGGCTGCTTGCCCAGCCAGTGCCGAGCTTCTGTGTGGGGTCAGATAGGCCAGAGTCTGCAGGTCACTGGTGAGGAGGCCATGGACACCACAAGCTGCAAAGGGGTCTGGCTAGAACCCTTTGATTTCCCCATGAAGAAGGCATGCTCTTGGGGGGAATTTCGTTCTTCTTCTTTTTTTTTTTTTTTTTTTTTTTTTTTTGCTTCAGGTTCATATTATCCTAGTTGGAAGGGCTTGAGTGGCCACAAGTGGGGCTGTATCAGAGACTGGTTTGGGCAGCTTTGGTCACTGGTCCCTTCCATCCTGGGCTTGTCCTCATTGCCCTGCAGCGTCAAACTCTCTCCTTGATGGGAGACAGTAGTGCCCTGGCCAACAGAAGCCAGATGGAAGACCTTGAGCGTGGGCCACCCCTGCCTTCAGAGCCACTACCTAGGGCAGTGAGGCCTCCTCTGTCCCCGTGTCCCTAGCTGCTAGGGGGCAGTGAAGTACCGGTAGGTGCAGATATTTGGTGCTTTAAAGAGGAAGCTGTTATATGGGATCCATTTATTGTTCCAGTCTATAATCCTCTTGAAGAATGGAAGCAAATCACACCACACTGGTGTCTGAGGGAAAGATGCCTGTGTTCCTCATGTCTCTCCCCAGTGAGTGGCCAATAAATAGATGGGATCAAAAAGATAATAAAATGGCATTTCTCTTAAAAACTTGTTATTTTATACTTGGACAGGAGCATGCACTTGAGAAATCTTTACGTGAATTGACTCGACACATTGTGGAACGCAGTTGGTGCTCAGTAAATGCTGTGGTCCTCTGTGGTGCAGGTTGGGAGGCTGAATTAGGATGGAGGGCCCCCTTCCCTTGCTGAAACCTGCAAAGAGGCATGTATGCCACAGGCTCTGGCCACTTTCTCGCTTAGGGCTTCTCTTCACTGAGCCTGTAGGTGTCTTATGTCTTCTCCAGAGGGAGCAGGCGGGCTGAGGAGTATGTGTCACTGTGTTCTCAATGAGAAACCTGAGCTGGGACCAGGGATTCCTATCAGCTCCCGTGGCTGTGGGTGTGGTCACTGCAGAGTCTGATCTGAAGAGGGGCCGCTGTCTCAGGCCCAAGGTATCTTCAGTTCTCATTAATTAAAAATATTTCTATTGGGCTATAAGGTTAGTTTTAAAAAATGACTTTTATACTCTTCCTTAACAATGCAACATTTAGACTTTGGTCTTAGTTATGCCAAAAATGGAGAACTACTTAAATATATTCGCAAAATTGGCTCATTCGATGAGACATGCACCCGGTTTTACACGGCCGAGATGGTGTCAGCTCTGGAGTACTTGCATGGCAAGGGCATCATTCACAGGTACCACACCAGCGGCCTGTGGGCTCCACTCCCCAGGCTTCGGGGTCAGCTCTGCTTGATTTTCTGGAGGAGTGGGAGGCCTCCTTGTGAGAACTAAGGAGAAGTTGACGTCACCTGATGTTGAGACTCACAGGCGTGTCTGAGCCAGGTGAAGTTGCCAGGCTGGTGGTTCTCTTGGCCATCCTCCCTGGTGCTTCTACTCCCCACCTTGTAGCTTTCATGGGTACTTATTTCTCATCTCATTTTCCATGACTTTCTAATATTGTTGAATCGAAAGTGTTCAAATGCGCTCTTGTCGACTTTTGATATTGTCAAATTGAAAGTGTTCAAATGCGCTGTTGTTATCGATTGTTTTTTATTATAACAAAATTTATCATTTTAATCCTTTTTTCTGGTTTTATTGAGAAACAACATTTATCACTGTATAAAGAAGTACAACATGATGGCTGATTTAAAAGAAATTTTTTTAAAGATTTTTAAATATTTAAGAGAGAGTAAGCAAGAGACAGAACACAAGCAAGGGGGTAAAGGACAGAGGAAGAGGGAAAAGCAGATTCCCCCACTGAGCAGGGAGCCTATCCCCAGGCTTGATACCGGGACCCTGAGATCATGACCTGAGCCAAAGGCAGATGCTCAACCACTGAGCCACCCAGACGTCTCTCATGGTTGATTTTATATATATTGTGAAATGACCACAATCGGTTTCAAAGATCTTTCTCTTACGGGTTAAAAATGATGGATTACACTTTAATAAAAAGTATATTGAAAATGACAGATGCATTTATGAAGTAATGTAATTTGAATGTACTCATTAAATGCAGTTAATATTTGTTCAGTATGAACTTTATAGACTTGTGTTCTTGGTTGTTCGTCCATAAAGATTCTAAGTATTAATCAGTTCATTTGTTTTCAGCAAAACTTAGAGTGTGTAATAACATTACTATTTAAATATTTCATCTCAGTTGTAAAAAATCTGCTTTCACAGAGACCTGAAACCAGAAAACATTTTATTAAATGAAGACATGCACATCCAGATCACAGATTTTGGAACTGCAAAAGTACTATCCCCGGAGAGTAAACAAGGTGTGTGAGTGGCCCTATTTCCAGCTGGCCCCAGTTCAGTGCTTAAGATCAAAAACAACTTAGAAATGTGTTGAATGGCATTGTATCCGTTGTTAATGACGGTTTATAATACCTTTGCTATTGTCAAACAAATACTTAAGCTTTCACAGGGGAAGGCCCTGCCTCACGTGGTGGCTCTCACTGAAGGCTTGGGCAGTTTGCACCTGGTCTAGTGGGTGGACAGAGGGCTCTCCTAGGCTGTCTATGTTTGGTCTGCCTGGCCTCAAGTATGGGGTGCTGAGTTGCCAGCCACTCTGCATGTTGTTATCCCAGGTCCTTGTGAGCACCTGGGTGTGTGCACTATGGCTCACCCTCCCTAGTCCTAGAAGAGACCAGGTGCCACATTTATTTGTTCCAGGTCTTCTGTGCAGGAGTGTGGGGTCCATGGAGCCAGCTCTCAGCTCTCTCTGTTGGCACTATGGATTGTAACTGAGAACACTGTCTCTATATTTTAGGACCTGCCGTCTCTTCTGTGTAGTTGCCACTGGTGGCCCAGGCACACTGATCATAGTGAGGTTCTACGAAATCACAGAACAAGCAGGGGCTGATTTTTAACCTGCTGCTCAAGTGCACATTTATAATTATAAGCCCTCCTAATCAGTGTTGTACTAGGGTAGTGGCTGGTGTTGGTTTATGTATCGTGACCACTCCATCACCTGAGGAGGAGTTGCTGAGTGGGCCGGAAGAGTGCCTTGGGAATCCAAGGCCCTAGCCAGCGGGGTACTTGAAATTAATAAGGACCTTGAAAATGAACCCGGAGTCAGGATGAGTGTCACCAACAGAGCCACCCTGAGCCTGGCCCAAGAGGCTGGGGCAATGTGCTTGCCTCTGCCAGGGCTCGTGGGGACACATGAGAGAGAAGGCCTGGGTTCAGATGGAAGCTGCCACTCTGCTACCACTGGCCTCCTGTGGAAGAGGGGAACCGTGAGCCCCATGCAGCAGTGGGAGAGCCCTAGCTAGCTCAGCCACACAGGCCGCCTCTGCCTCGGTTGAACTGAGGCCCATTTAGTGACCATGTGAGTGCCGGTGGTTGCTGGGCTGATGCTGGGGGTCCTTTCCTCCCGGCTGGGCCTCTGTGAGTTCTTTTCTTTTCTTTTCTTTTCTTTTCTTTTCTTTTCTTTTCTTTTCTTTTCTTTTCTTTTCTTTTCTTTTCTTTTTTCTTTTCTTTTCTTCTTTTCTTTCTTTTCTTTTCTTTTTTTCTTTTCTTTTCTTCCTTTCTTTCCTTTCTTCCTTCTTTTCTTTTTCTTTTTGTGAGTTCTTTTCCACAGGGTGCTTTATCTTTGCTTTTTGGGCATTCTTGCAGCCCCGTGCTTTCAATACTGTTGTGAAGCTTCTGTCAGTGCCTTTGTATTTGTGCAGACCCTCATTGAATCACCAAGACTGCCTCTTGGATTTGGGAACTTCTCTGAGAATCCTAAAGCACCGCCCTTTTGGGGCCAAAACAAAACTTGCAATCAAGGAAGATACTCTTAGTTCTCAACAAATTTCAGTCCCGGTGCCACTCGCCTGTGTTTTGCAGCTCCTCTTCCCTCTTTCCCCCCATGGAGAAGTCCTCTAGGCTCTGAGATGCCTCAGACTCATTTCTATTGCAGAGTAACATCGTATTGGCTGGCAGCTGCGTTTTTGTGGATGCGGCATAACCCATAGCCATAAGCATTGTCTATGACTGAATTGAACCGAACAGGAACTGCTGTGGCCCCAAACATCCTTGTCATCTCATGTGTGACTCCCCATGGGGCCCCCCAGTCAGCCTTGGGAGGCTGCCACTTCAAGGTCTGCACTGCCCGTTTTTTTCCTCCACGCGCATTCCCTTCAGAATGATACTTGACACCAGCCAGTCCTGTTGTCCTGTGGCCATTTAGAAAATAGAAGAATTTAAATGGAGTGGTCAAATAGCGAAATAAGCCTGTGTTTGTTTCTTTCTAGAAGTTGAAGACTAAAATCCTTACACCGTAAACCAGGGAGAGTTACTTGTATATAGAGACGAGTTGGCTTTTTTTTTTTCATTCTTAGGGAAAGAGGGAAAAAAGTGTATAATTATATGAGTGATTCATTGTAGTGACTTGCTCTCACTTTCTTTTTGAAATGGTTCAGAATCTTAGAATTTATTCTTATATTGGCTTTTAACTTTTGTACAGAGATGGTTTCCCTAAGACATCGTAAGCCTGCACAGCACAGGCATTGTTGGGAACATGGCTAAGGCTCCTTAGCTGTACTGTGAGCATGAGCATGTTTTACCATCCTAGCAAGAGGCAGGCTATCCGTCTTTAGAGACTTTGTCTCCACTGCTTCCTGGGGGGGTCATAGTGGCCCCGTGTCTGTGAGGGGCAGGGATAGGAAACCGCAGGGCAGCTATTGAGGAGGGTATGTGGGATTGATGAGGACGTTCCTGACTTGTGATTAACCTAACCTAACAAGGGTCCCACAGACCTGTCCAAATATGGGCAGCTTAATCATGCAGAGTAAGCCCCTTGTTTATGGCTATATCACTGTCCTTTGCCTTCTTTATAAGAGGCTTGGGGAGCTCAGGATGGCACAGAGGTTCAGATTTAGGGTTTGTGCCTAAAAACCTATGTCTTGAGCCATGCAGGTCTTTCTGGTATGTAGCCAGATGTGGAGGTTCCACTCTTCCAACGAGAGGGGAGGGCTGGCAGGTGTTGAGGATGGTGACAGGAGAGGGGATGGAGGGGAGGCTGCAGAGCTGAAGTCACTTCTGTCACTCACTCTAGCTGTACCTTCTATGGATGGCCATCATCCAGACCCTCAGACCAGTCTTGAGGTGCTGTGAACTCTGGACCCTGCCCTAGCGCCTCTGCCTTGCCCCCACTATAGCATGAGCAGGACAGCTCCACCCACCCCAAAGCAGAGTTTGCATGTTAGAGAAGAAAGTCAAGTTCCTATGCTTATGCCACCAGATATAACTCTTTACATTGAGAAATGGTTTACTCTGGTCTTCTCAATATGGGTATTTGTTTAGTCGTAGCTATGATACATGGAATTGGTTTTTTGTTTTTCTTTTTTACATAGAGTACTTGCTTTTTGTAAAACCATGCATGCGACCTAATTTCCACCATCAGCGATTTGTTTTCCTAGTAAATGTTTTAGTATTTATTACTAAAATACAAAGTTTCTTTTACTTTTTATTTATATAAATTCAGTTAGCCAACATAAAGTACATACTTGGTTTCAGATATAGTGTTCAATGATTTATCAGTTGCATATAACACCCAGTGCTCATCACATCATGTGCCCTCCTTAATGCCCATCACCTAGTTACCCCATCCCCACTGCTCCTCTTTCAACCCTTAGTTTGTTTTCCTGTAATTAAGAGTCTCTCATGGTTTTTCTCCCTCTCTGAGGACTTCCCATTCAGTTCTCCCAGTATAAAGTTTCTTTTATTATTATTTTTTAAATATTTATTTATTTATTTATTCATGAGAGACGGGGGGAGGGGCAGAGACCCAGGCAGAGGGAGAGAGGGAGAAGCAGAGGGAGAGAGGGAGACTCTATCCCGAGTCTATAGGATCACACCCTGGGCCGAAGGCAGCACTAAACTGCTGAGCCACCCAGGCTGCCCTAAAGTTTTCTTAAGAAAATAAAGCTACAGGGGGATCCCTGGGTGGCTCAGCGGTTTAGCGCCTGCCTTTGGACCAGGGTGTGATCCTGGAGTCCTGAGTCCCACGTCGGGCTCCCTTCATGGAGCCTGCTTCTCCCTCTGCCTATGTCTCTGCCCCTCTCTCTCTGTCTCTGTCTCTCATGAATAAATAAATAAAATCTTTAAAAAAAATAAAAATAAAGCTACAATAGCAAACTATTTTCATGCATAAAAAAGCTAACTCAAAAAAAAAAAAAGCTAACAATAATTGCTTTATATCCTAAAATACTGTGTTAAATTTCCAGATGTCTGGATTTTACATCATAATTTTTTGGTGGCTGTCTACTTGAATTGGGATTCAAATAAAGCTCCACATTGGGTTTAGCTAATTTGTTTCTTAAAATTTTTTTACTCTATTTTTTTCCCGTGGAGTCTGTTGAAGAAACCAGGTCATTTGTCTTACAGAGTTTCCTGGAGTTTCCTGATTGCATCTCTGTGGAGTCATGTAACATGCTCCTGTCCCCTGTAATGTGCTAGAAATAGGGAGTTGGATCTGGCCCCTTGACCAAATTCAGATTCAGTCCTCTCAAACCAAAAGCTGGGTTGTGTTCTCCATTCAGACACTTATAACACCCCGTCATCTCTCTGTGATGTCAACAGCGCTTTATAGCCATAATGGCCTAGATGTTGTTTTTTTTTTTTTTTATGATAGTCACAGAGAGAGAGAGAGAGAGGGGCAGAGACACAGGCAGAGGGAGAAGCAGGCTCCATGCACCGGGAGCCCGACGTGGGATTCGATCCCGGATCTCCAGGATCGCGCCCTGGGCCAAAGGCAGGCGCCAAACCGCTGCGCCACCCAGGGATCCCTGGCCTAGATGTTTTAATTCTCTAGAGAATACACAATGATTTTAGTCATTCTTTGATTCATGGGCTGGAGTTCTTCTTTAAAGAGAAACTTTGCCATAGCAATTATTTGGTTAATTATAGTGATATTGACTATGGAGGAAAAACAGGATAAATATTTGCTTTCCCCATTATTTGCTGCTTGTGAAAGCTGTGAACTGGTTTACTGTCATCCTCTGGTGTTGACCAGTTCATCAAAAACAGGATTTACCCATACCTCACACCATATGCAAAAGGTAACTCCGAAGTTAACTTGGAGCAGAGATGTGAATGTAGGATGCAGAAATAGAAACTCTTGAAAGGAAGTGTAGGTGTAAATCTCCATGACCTTGGCTTAGGCAGTGAGTGGTTTCTTAGATACACCACCTAAAGCATGAGCAACAGAAGAAAAATAGACTACATCAAGTTGGGAAATTTTTGTGTTGCGTTACCATTCAGAAAGTAAAACGAGGGATCCCTGGGT